CACACAGATGTGGCCACGCAGGGCTGAGATGGGATGGGAGGTACAGAGAGTGGCAGAGGGAGTGGCCCTGGGGCCCAGAGGTGTCCTTGACCCAGCTCCATGTTAATAGGTGGGAAGATTTGAAGATGTACATTTTTCTCAAATGGATATGTTTGACTCAGTTGCTATCCCAGTAAGAGTTTTTGGAGACGGAGGAGGGATTCTAGAATTTATGCAGAAAAGCAGAGGATCTAGAACACCTCAGATACTTCTGGAAAACCATAGAGTAGGAGGGCTCCGTCTACCTGGTTTTAAGACTTGCTGGATACAGTCATTATGACCATGGTCTTGCGGGGGACAGACAGGGAGGTCAGTGGACCAGAGTGGAGAGCCCATAATCAGACCCGTGCAACTCACCCACTGACTTTTGACAGAGACACAAAAGCAATTGAACGGAGGACGGTCTTCCCACAGACAGTACCCGAGCAGCTGGACGTCTGCAGGCAAGAAAGTGAACGTCCACCCAAGTCTGACGCGTTGTACAAAAAAGTAACTCACTGTAGCTTTCAGACTTCATGTAAAGCTAACTAGCGTTTAGGGGAAAAAAGAGGGAATTGCCTGCATCCAGGGCTCGGCAGTGTGTGCTTCAGCTTGACCCCCAGAGCTCAAGCCATAAAGAGAAGAAATGGTAAGTTGGACTTCATCAAAACTGCACACCAAAGAAGCCTCAAAACTCGTCAGTAAACACACACCTAGAAAAGGCAGCAAAAGACTTGCGGAGACATTTCCACGGTGAGGGTGCAGCCACGGCCCGGATACTCAGGGATGTGCGCCGTCACTGGCCAAATGAAAAAGCCACAGTGTGGACACCACCCGTTGGAACGACTGAACTGAGAAACGTGACGGTGTCCACTGCTGGTGGGGACACAGAGGGACCAGACGGCGGACACAGTGCTGGTGTGGGCATGAGTGGTGCAGCCTCGCCGGGAGAGAGCCTGGCAGCAACTCTAAAAAGTTTACTTTCACAGACAGCAAGGACTTTGCACAGTGCAGGGAACTCTACAACAGCTCATAATAACCTAGAATGAAAAAGAATGTGAGAAAGAATATACGTATGTATAACTGGATCGCTGTGCTCCACACCAGAACAAACACGACACTAAATCAGCTCCACTTTGATAAAAATAAGGAAGGAAATAAAAAGCTAACTTTCAGCTACCACGTGACTCAGCCGTCCTGGGCATTTACCCCCAAGAGACAAAACTCTCTGTGCACAAACACAGCGGATTTACTGGGAACAGCCAGAAACCAGGAACTCCTCAGCTGTCCTCCCACAGTGAGGGGCTGACCAGGCTGGCAGGGACACAGGTGGGGACCACCGGTCACAGTAAGGAACCCAGGATGCACATGTCCACGTGGACGAGCCTGGGTGGTGCAGACACCTGTCTCCAAAGGTCACGCAGCACGTGAGTCTGTCTGTGTAACACTCGAGGACGACATGGAAGACGGCTGGCGGTGGCCAGGGACGAGGGCAGGGGTGATGGCAAATGGCAACATGGAGGCTTCTCATGGAGACAGGTGTCCTGTGCCCTGACTGGGTCGAGGTCAGCTGAGGTGACACTGTGCTGAATTACACACGCTCTTACCGCTGGGCTGGGGAGTCGAGGTGAAGGACACATGGGGTCTGTTACTTCTTCCTGCTACTTGTGAACCTACACTCACCGCAGGATGAAAACTTTAAGTAGAAAAGCAGCCGCAGGGAGAGGGTATATAGCTCAGTGGCAAAGTGCATGCCTAGCATGCATGAGGTCTTGGGTTCGAAACCCCAGTCCCTCTGATAAATAAATAAACCCAATTACCTCCCTCCACCCCCAAATTCTTTTTTCAAAAAAATTGAAACAAAAATTTAAAAAGCCTCCCCAGATCCCCAGCCCTGATGGGAGAAGACTAACATTCCCCTGGTGTGTGTCCTGCCCCCTGCTCTGTCCCCTGCCCTCCACCCTTTCCCCTCTCCAGCCCCTGGCTGTGCCACCCTCTGCCTGGGTAACAGGCCTGGAGCCTCCACGCCCCTAGCACCCGGCCACAGCGGGAGGGCCTGGCTGGCTGTGAGTGAGTGGCTCTGAGAGAGGAGGGCTAGGGTGGTAGGGGCTGACTGGGCAGCCAGGAGGTGCTCCCTGTCCCCGTGCAGTGAGTGGAGGATCCAGATCCCTCCCATCCCCACTCCACATACCCGTAACTAAAGATCCTTCTTCCGTTTTACATCTCCCTTTGTGCTCACCAAGTCATTGGGAGTTACGTGCAAACAAGAAAAGATTTTGGAAGTGGGGTCAGCAGGCTTGGAGGACTGGCTGGCCTTCGGGAGCTGGGGAGAGGTGGTGGCCCCTGGGCGTGGGTCCAGGGTTGGACTCCCTGAAGACGATGCTTTGATTTTCTTTGGGTACCCCAAGCAGATGTCTCCTTCGGGAGCAGAGAAGAGTCAGATTCTGTTCTTCCCCTTGTGGGAGCTCAGTGTCATCTCCGGGTGCTGGAGTTGTCCCCCACTGGGCAGAGGTGGGGTGGGTGGCCGTCACTGCCCGTCTGGTGAGGGTCCAGGGAGCGTTCCTGTCAGGATGTGGGGGGTGGTGGGTGCAGTGGCCTGGGCGCCGTCCTCTCCCCGCAGGTGTACGCCCACGCAGGTGCTGCTCTGGCCGGGAAGATGTACATCACCTGCGGTCGCCGCGGGGAGGACTACCTGAGAGAGACGCACTGCTACGACCCGGGCAGCGACACCTGGTGCAGCCTGGCCGATGGGCCGGTGCGGAGGGCATGGCATGGCATGGCTACTCTCCTGGACAAGCTGTACGTGGTCGGGGGCAGCAACAATGACGCGGGCTACAGGAGGGACGTTCATCAGGTGAGCAGCACCGCCCACCCGGCTGCGCTCCCATCCCGTCCACTGGCTCCTGGCCAACAAGTAACTGCCACATGGGTTTTTCCTTCAGTAGACTTTATTTCTCAGAGCAGTTTCAGGTTCACAGCCAGACTGAGCAGGAAGTGCCAAGATTTCCCGTATGCCCGCCCCCCAGCACCCCCACCAGATGGTGTAAGCATTGTGATGGATGAACCTACCTTGGCACATGGTCCCCCAGAGTCCAGAGCTCACGTTAGGGTCTCCCCCGGCAGCACAGGCTAAATGGACGTGTCCACCATCAGCGCCACGCAGAGCAGCTCTGCTTGCCTGTATTATTATTAGACTAATTGTCAAGTTACTGTAACCCAAGGCAGAGCTTTCACAAGTGGAGACGGGTGAAGAAAACCACCTGTAATCTGGCCGTGTGCCACAGGTTCCATTCCTCCTCCCTGTGCATGGTTCCCCCTGTTGTCTCAGCGTCATTCTGTTCTTGTGGGGTGTGTTGTCCAGTTTAACACTGTCTCCATAGCCACCCCACCTGGATTTCAGTTTCTTGTGGTTGTGGGACTCAGCCCCGAGTCCCTTCTCAGCTTCTGGAAGCCTCCACGTTCCCTGGCTCAGGGCCCTTCCTCTGCTGAGCCGGCAGCGGCAGCTTGTCCTCCCTGCCCCACCCCGGCACACCTTCCCTTTTGTTTCAGGGGCTTGTGCAGCCAGTGGGTCCACCCCCTACCACCCATGCTGACTCCCCCACCCCACGTGCACCCCCTGCTCAGTCTGCAGGGCCCCTTTTCTGCATAAAGTAGAAGGTCCCAGGGAGCCGGGCACAGGCACCTCCCTCCGTAGCCAGAAAGCCAGGGGTGGTAGCCTCCGAGTTGACAGCCGGCCTCCATGTGGCTCTTGGGAATCTTGCATGTTGCGATCCTGGCTGGGCAGCCAAACGCACGGTCTTAGACGCCTCGGTGCGCCTCCGCCAGCGTGGGGCCTGTGCTTTGTCCCCTGCCTCCCTGTTGCTGCTGGTTAACGGCTGACAGTTTGTCTCTGACATTTTATTTTGCATTTCTTGGCTTATTAGTAGGTTGGACGTTTCTCGTGTATTTGTTCACTGTATGGGGTCAATTTGAAGACAGGAAAATGTGGATGGTCATCATTAGTCAGCAAGCACCTGTTTACCATTTTACCTGCACCTCCCTTCGTGGGGTGCAAATCTTCAACTTCATTGGGGGTGGGGCGGGAGGAATGAGCCGGGTCCCCCAGCAGAAGAGATACCTGCATGCCTGACAGGCCACAGGCTGGTGGAGGGGCTGGGCCCAAGCCTTTCCTCCTTCCTCCAGGGGTGCATTTGCCCACGGCCCCACTGTGTCTCTCAGCCTCCTGGGAACCCAGTGCCTGGCTTGAGCAGGCTTCACTCCCGCCTTGCTTTGCAGGTGGCCTGCTACAGCTGCACGTCCGGACAGTGGTCATCCGTCTGCCCGCTCCCGGCGGGGCACGGGGAGCCCGGCATCGCTGTTCTGGACAACAGGATCTACGTGCTGGGCGGCCGCTCGCACAACCGGGGCAGCCGCACGGGCTACGTGCACATCTACGATGTGGAGAAGGACTGCTGGGAGGAGGGGCCCCAGCTGGACAACTCCATCTCGGGCCTGGCGGCCTGCGTGCTCACCCTGCCCCGGTCCCTGCTCCTTGAGCCACCCCGAGGGACCCCTGACCGCAGCCAGGCCGACCCGGACTTCGCCTCCGAGGTGATGAGTGTGTCTGACTGGGAGGAGTTCGACAACTCCAGCGAGGATTAGGGTCCCGGGCTGGTGTCGGGGGGAAGGGTGATGGGAGCCCCCAGGGGGCAGTGGGGCCTGGCTGAGCACTTGACCCCAGGGTGGCGCTCACCCCAACCCCAGGCTCCATGGGCTCGAGGCTCCTGCCACCCTTCCTTCTTACTGCCCATCAGCAGGTATTTTTGGGGCTCTGCAGGTCTGGGGCTGTGGATTACCCTAGGGTGGGGCCCTCTCCTCACCAGGAAGGGGCGTGCTGCCTCCAGCTGTTCTGGCCTCCCCGCTCCCTGGTCCTGGTCCCTGCTGGGCTGAGAAGGCACTCTTCTCCCAAGGGACCTAGGGACTGGCCCCTGGCAAGGGGCCTGAGGCACATCTCACCCCTCCTGTAGTCAGGAGGCAGCAGCTGGGGGCTGGAGGGATGGCACGTTCCCAGGGACCTGAGGGGGCAGAGAAAAGTCACTTTGCCAAAATTTGGTTTTAGTGAGAAGATCCCCTCTGGCTGGGCTTTTCTGACCCTGTGTTGTTGATAAATGAAATAAATCATCTGACCCCAGGTGTGCACTGCTTTCCTTTGGCCCCGGCCTCACTTCCTTTCACAGCCTGTTCCAGGCTACAGCCTCAGGAGCCTGGTTTCCAGTCAGAGCTGCTGGAAGCAGTGGGAGGCTGAGAGCTGGCCCCCAGGCTAGAGGCATCCCCAGGACACCCACCCGCCCTGGTGACAGGGTAAGCCCTTTCACTGGTGAAGATCTCTCTGAACTTTGGGGATGGAGAGAGAGACACTTCCTGATAGCCCCACCTGGGCCCGGGCCTGCCCACCTCCTGGATCTGAGTGCATGGTGGGTAGGGGGACCTGCATTTCCTTCAGGTGACTCTCAAGGCCCTTGCTCCTGCAGTGGGTGGGATCCTCGGGCAGGTAGGCTGGGGTCCTGCACAGCCCAGCCTCCACCTGAACACTCTCCCTTCCTGTTGGCCACAGTCCTGCAGACAGTTGTGACCCTGCAGGCTCATGGACTGTGCATAGGGTGAACCCCCAGGGCTCTGTCCTCTCCTGGTGCCTGGGATGATGGGGTCTTCTCTGTCCGTGTTCTTGCCCAGAGCCTGCTGTGCTGGCACCTTGTAGTGGAGTGGGGGGCAGGGGGGTGACGTGTGCTCTCATGGGAGGAAGGGCACAGGGGTGCAGACAGCTGGCTGCTCTGGGCTCTTGTGGGGGCACCCCAAAGTCTGGGGTGTGGGGGTGGGGCAGTTGCTATCTCAGGGCCCAGTTACCCCCAAGGAAACAGCCCTGCTCCCAATCGCCATGTGACATCGTACACTTCCCTCCGGAAGGCCATCCTGGCCAGAAATGGCCCAGGCTCCTGGCTCCCACGGTTGGCCCGCATGCCGGTCACTCGTACGGATGCCCAAGAACCCTCAGCTCCCCCATCCCGGTGTTCACCTGGCACCAGGCCAGGCACACGGATGATCATTCACTCCACCTGTACTTCTCCAGCTCCTGGTTGGTGTTACATGGCGGCAGGTACAGACGTGGGCACTGCCCTCAACACCCAAACTCGCCATCAAGTACAAGGTGTCTGGGATGGGACATGTGCAGGGAGCTGTGGGTCTGAAACAAGGCTGGGGACGGTCCTGTCAGTCTTGCGGGCAGTGGGGCAGCCAGACATGGGTGGTACACGGATCGGGGTAGAAGGGCTTTGAGACATTCTGGAAGTCCAGGTGCCACCCTTCACAGAGATGGCACTTTGGGGGCAGGAAGCAGTTCTGGGGGAAGGGGAGGAAGGTGATGGAGTTTTAGGTGCCTCTTCCTCAACCCAGTCCATCTGGGCTGCAACCCTCAAGCTGGGAGGTGGGCAGACTGCAGTCACATGGATCTCTGTCGGTGGCAGCCAACAGGGTTCTGTGGAAGGGGCCCCAGTGCTGGGAGGGCACTGCTGAGGTCAGGGCCATGCCCAGGCACGGCTGCCCGGAAGTGGTTGGCCTGTTTCCTGGTCCCAGAGGAGTGTGTGCAGTCACAACCACATGGGTGCCCTTCCCCTGCCAAGCCCAACCCTGACAGTTGGCTCCCTCCTGCACTGCATGGCTGAGTGAGGGGCTCCAACCTCCGCAGCTCCCAGCCTGCTCCTTCCCAGCTAGCCTTCCACCAGCCTGTTGATGCCCATGGCCTTGGTTCTTTCACTGGCCCTTATCCCAAGTCCCCTCCTCCAGTCCCACCTTCCCTGACCCCTACCCCTGCATAACTGAGAGGGCCTGGGCTCTCCCCTCTTCAGGGAGGTGTGTGCAGCCTGCTCCCCAGGAGAAGCCGGATGTCTTCTCTGCTTAGGCCCTTCTGCCAGCTCTCAAGTCCTTAGAAGAGCAGTATCTTGGCCAAGACCTGGCCACCCCCTTTTTGTTCCATCTCTAGGCCTGCCCCTCTCCCTGCTCCAAGGGGATTGGGTCGGCTCCCTCCACTTCCCAAGCCCAGGGTTCCTCTTCCTCCCTGTCCCCCAGGCCCTGCTCCTCTCAGTCCCACTCCCCTTTCTCTGCTGTCCCTGCTGTGCTCTGGGCTGTCACCCTACCCCTCCTGAGGCAGTAGCTCCCATGCCTCCAGCCCTGACTCCACCTTCTGGACTTTTCCCTTGGTAACCTTCTCAAGCAGAATCTCTCTCCCAGGCCCCAGCCCACCTTCACGCCTTGACAAGGGCTGCAGAGTCTCTGTCCTGGATCTGTCCCGCTGCCTCACGCTGCCTGCTCCACCTGCCTTTACCACCACATTCTCTCGGGGCCGCGCGGGGCCATTCTACTCCTGGCATCTCTCCGGTTGGTCCCTATGGGGCCCCCTTCTCCCAGGCCTCTGGTGCAGACCGAGTCTACCCACAGGCCTCAAGCATCCGGCTGGGCCGTCGCTGCAGGCTTTGACTGCGCCCCGCGCGCGGGAGGAGCTGACCGCACAGACGGGCACTCCGAGGGCCTCGCGGTGGGAGCGGAGGCCAGCCTGCGGCCTTGACCTGGCCGGTGCCGAGGCGCTGCTGGCCGGGGG